CATCATGCTAAGGAGAGATGTAGGACATTCTGGAGAATGTGAGCATTCTTAGTTACGATCACAGAACTGCCACTCCCCAAAGGAAGCAAAGTGGCGTCTACAACCATCACGATTCTAACATGTAAGCCCTCTTCAGATAAGCTAACATTCAAAACAATTTTTTTAACTCAGTGATTTCTGTCTGCTTTTTTATTTTGAAATGCTGACAAAACACCAATGTGAAGATAGGTGACAATCGCAGAAAATTAAATATCATTTACCATTTTTCCACTATGCAATGGCCATTTCTCAAGACTGTGAACAAGAATGAAGCTTTATAAGAAACAAATAGATTAATAGTGCTATAGTTTGAATGCACCCCCCCAAGGTTCATGTGTTGGAAACTTGATCCCCAGTGTGTAGGGAGGTAGGACCTAATGAAACTTGATCCCCAATGTGTGGGGAGCTAGGTCCTAACGTTTGGATTATGGGGACACTGCCCTCATGAATGGATTAATGTTGTAGTTGGAGCAGTAGGTTCCTTAAAAAAGGATGAGTTTGGCCCCTTATTTGTCTTTGCCCTCTCTTTGCCCTCCCATCATGCTGTGAGGCAGCTAGAAGAAACTCACCAGATGCTAGCCCCTTCCACTTGGACTTCCCAGCCTTCAGAACCATAAGCCAATGAATTTCTATTCATAATAAATTACTTGCAACATCCTTAAAGAAACCCTTAAATAAATATTAAACATCCTTCAAGAAAAGAACTTTCAACCCAAATTTCATATCCAGCCAAACTAAGCTTCACGAGCAAAGGAGAAATAAAATCTTTTATGAACAAGCAAGTACTCAGAGATTTCATCACCACCAGGCCTGCTTAACAAGAGCTCTGAAAGAAGCACTACACATAGAAAGGAACAACCAGTATCAGCCTTTCCAAAAATATATCAAAACATAAAGAGCATCAACATAATGAAGAATTTACATCAACTAATGGGCAAAACAGCCAGCTAACATCAAATGGCAGTAATCCTAAATTTAAATCAACTAAATCCCCCAATCAAAAGATACAGCCAAAACCCATCGGTATGCTACATCCAGAACCTTCTCACATGCAAGGATACACAAAGACTCAAAACAAAGGGATGGAGAAAGATTACCAACCAAATGGAGAGCATAAATAAATAAATAAAAAGCAGGAGTTGCAATTCTTGCCTCTGATAAAATAGATTTTAAAGCAACAAAGATATAATGGTAAAAGGATCAATGCAACAAGAAGAGCTAACGATCCCAAATATATACGCACCCAATACAGGAGCACCCAGATACATAAGACCTATAAAGAGACTTAGACTCCCACACAATAATAGTGGGAGACTTCGACATCAATATTAGATAGATCAATGAGACAGAAAATTAATAAGGATATCCAGGACTTGAACTCAGATCTGGAACAAGTAAACTTAATAAACGTTTATAGAACTCTCCACTTTAAACACACAAGATATACACTCTTATCAGTACCACATCACACCTACTCACAGGTTTAAATGAAATATTGGTTGGCCATTTTTTTTTTTTTTTTTTTTTGAGACGGAGTTTAGCTCTTGTTACCCAGGCTGGAGGGCAATGGCGCGATCTCGGCTCACCACAACCTCCTCCTCCTGGGTTCAGGCAATTCTCCTGCCTCAGCCTCCTGAGTAGCTGGGATTACAGGCACGTGCCACCGTGCCGGGCTAATTTTTTGTATTTTTAGTAGAGACGGGGTTTCACCATGTTGACCGGGATGGTCTCGATCTCTTGACCTCGTGATCCACCCGCCTCGGCCTCCCAAAGTACTGGGATTACAGGCGTGAGCCACCGCGCCCGGCCTGGTTGGCCATTGTTAAGCACAACTTTTGGCATAAAAGAGGTTTTCAATACCCATTTTTAGAATAAAGCAACACTCCCATCCATTCTCTCTCCCTCTTCCTCTTCCTCTTTCTTCCTCCCCTTCATTTCTTAAAAAAATAAATAAATAAAACAAAAACAAAAATAAGCAAGATAAACAAGAGAGTACTTCTGCTTTCTAGCAAATATCATGTGAACATAGAAACCTCTACTCTTTCTGGCCATTTCATATTTTTCCTTATGAGGTACACACATATTTTATTACTTAACTCCTCCTTTCTTTTAATTGGTTTTGCTGAATAAAGCAGGCAGTTTATGCTACATGGCTGGCTCCTTCCTGAAGAAACAACTTACTTTGAGGGATCTACCTTCTGTAACGGTAAGGCAAGTGAATTATGAACACCGTAATGATAATGACACATACAGTTTATTGAGGCTAGTCTGTGCCAGGCGCTTTACTGAACACTTTATGTATCCTGTTTGAGTACTTCACTTCAGTGATATGAGGTAGACATAGAGTTACCAGATATCCCTAAAAACTCGAAGCCAACATAAGAATAAAGGTATGATTTCCATACATTGACTGAAGCATAATTGGAAAGAACCTGTAGGAGAGAGGGATGAAAAAACAAAAAAAGTACTCATCTGTGGGATTCTGTTACAGGAGCACTAAACAAACCAAGGCAAATAGTGTTTTTTGAAAAGAAGATTTAGCTCTCTCAAGGGTCAAAACACATAGGTTTCTGAAACCTAGAAGCCTAGTAGCGTACATCAAGTCCTTTCCTGCTCCCAGCACCCCGAAATTCTCCCCTTTACAAGTGTCTAGTACCACGTGGCTACTGTTTACTGAGCACTCACTGTGTGCTAGGTGGCGCTATAATAAATGCTTTCCTGACGTGGTTCTTACCACCCAGTCACAGGGCAGACTAGAGTCAGAGCCGGGATGCAGACTCATGCTGGTCTGATTCCACCACGAGTGTCCTTATGGGTCCACCCCAGGGCATAGAACTACGTGTTCTGTCTTCATTTCCTATTCTTAGGTATCACTTGCTTCTGTTGTTCTCTCTGCAAAAATGCCACCCACCACTGAATCTGTGGAAAGCTGATCTTCCTTCAAAATGAGACCACATTACTCCCTGCAGAGAGACATTTTTGCAATCCCCTCATTCTCCCTGTGTTCACACCTGCTTTTCTACATGTGTTGACACATGGTAGCTTCTTGACAAAACCCTAACAGTATTTGGAGGCTCATGGACATTCCCAAAAAAGTCTGAATCTTAGTTTCATTTTCCTTCACTATGTGAGCATTGGTACATTCCTTAGATTTCCTGTCTATAAATTAGAGGCATCAGGCCCACCTGGAACGGTTCCCATGAGTTCTAATGACAGCCTATGTGGCCCTCACTTCCTTCTCCTTCCCCACCAAGAACACTTCTCATTATCTGCCTCACCTAGTTGTGAGTTGGATAGTTCTGTTGCTACCTGTGTCAAATTCTGTAAGATACACAGATAGACCATAGATCAGTCATTGTGTGTTTTCTGCTTAGCTCCATATGTAGCAGCGCCCCTATTACTACCTATCAAATTGAACTAAATGCACGTCTTCCCCAGAACATGGAGTAAAACACTTAGATCCCCTCACTTATTCAATCTGGATCTCGGAATATAGAGATTTAGATTGAATAAAGGAGGTAAGAAGAATTCAGAGTTGCTAACTTTCAGAAATCGTCTTCACGTGGAATCTATAAATCTTTAGCAGGAAGCTGCATTTATGTAAACATGTATTGAATTTAAGGATTTCAGTGCATATTATTTTTGCTTTTTTCTTTCTTCTCCACCCCATGGTTCTGTAGCAGTATATATTTTAAACAACATTTCCACGCAAAGTTTCTGTGACTGCTCCAAATAGATTGGATTTAATGTTTAATATTCTGCTCTTAGTTATTAAGGACATCCACCCTGCCCCAGTGTCCCTGGAGCTACCAGCATAGAGAAGCCAAGTAGAGAAAGGAAGGGAGCATGATTCCCAGATTCTTGGTCAGTGTTAAGACTCTCCAGCTGTGGACGCTTAAACACGTGAATATATTTCTAAGCCTTAATTTCCCATCTGTAAAATGGAGATTATAATAGCATTGTTCTTGCAGCAATGTTGTAAGAATTCAGCTAGAAGCCATATGCAAAATCACTTGCTAATATGTCAGAAAAATGATGCTAATGATAATTATCAGTGCTGCACCATTGCAGTTCCCCAAACATAGTTCTGAGCTTCCGCAATACCTAGTAGATAGGGAAAATCATAGTTTAAATATGGAGACGTTTAGGGAGAGGAAGCTCAACAGTTCTTTGAAAAAGAAACTTTAACCCTCTGTGCACAGAGAAATTTCCCCTGCGGATACACACAGGAGACTGGGAATCTTCTAATGAATGATATACTTGGGGCCATTTGGAAGAAACAAAGACTTTCTTCCTGGGAATGTTTTTCACAGGGATACCTAGGAAAAGTTGAGGGTACAACATGGGATTGCCATTCAGTCAAGGGGTTCCTTGGCAGCCAGACTTTTTGTTTCTTGCAAAGCCCTTTCTTGGGCTTGAGAATTTCTCAGTATCAGAGAACGCATTCATTACCTACAGACCCTCCACAGGTAGAAGTGGGTGGAGGAGATTACAAAAGAGAGCGAGCTCATTTCTCTTTGGGTGTCAGCCTCACCTATCATGGGGCAGAGAATCAAGTATCCATGATTTCCTGTAACTATCTTATTTGAAGAGTTGGAAGAAGACTAAAATCTTTACTAGAATATAGCACTTGACCAAGAGAAAAATCCCTGACTAAAATGCTTTCTTGCTCCAAAGTAAACTATAAAGTCACAAATTTATATCAATGAGCACAACTCTCCTTTGCCTAATGCTCAAATATTTAGCAAATATTTGTTGGGCATCTATTATGGGCCTAACAATACTATTATTCATAAGAAGCATACAATAAAAATAATAGCAAACACTTACTGGATGCTTTCTATGAGCCAAAAAACAATTCTGGATATTCTTGGTCTTAAAACAAAATATTGACATAACACACAAAAAAAATATTGACATCACACACACACACACACACACACACACACACACACCCCTACCTCTGAGTTGTGGAATCCACTCTGGACTCAGGAACAGCCTCTTCTCCAGGCACTCACTACCAACAGTGGCTTTCTCCTGGATCGTGGGCAGTGAGTCCTCCCTCCTTGCTGTTTTCTCTGACGTGATGAGGTAACACCAAGCAGTGTCCTTCCCCCAGAGAAAAAGCTCTTCCTGGGCTGGGCGCAGTGGCCCACGCTGGTAATCCTAGCACTTTGGGAGGCCGTAGCAGGCAGATAATGAGGTCAGGAGTTTGAGACCAACTGGCCAATATGGTGAAAACCCGTCTCTACTAAAAATACAAAAATTAGCCAGGCATGGTGGTGGGCACCTGTAATCCCAGCTACTTGAGAGGCTGAAGCAGGAGAATTGCTTGCACCTGGGAGGGGGAGGGTGCAGTGAACTGAGATGGCGCCGACTGCACTCAAGTCTGGCGACAGAGTGAGACTCTGTCCCAAGAAAAAAAAAAGAAAAAGAAAAAGCTTTTCCCTTGTCCAAGCACAGTGACTTCAAACATGAAGAACCAGACCGGAGGCAGCTTCTCAAGGGATGCGGTGCTGTTCTGGGCCACCAGCAGGCTCTGGGGTGCCCGTGGAGAGAGTGTTACTCACCTAGTTGACCATGCAGGTCCAGCGCAGACAGAAGTGTCTGAGGTCCTGAAGGGAAAGACCTGTTGGAGCCATACCCTGGAAATGCAGAAACCTTTCCTCTTACTTCCACCAGGCTGCAGAGGGTGAGGGTCCTGGCATGTCCTCTTGCAAAGGGAGCAAGGGGATTGCTGAGATGGTAGCCCTGAGAAGATGGGGATGTGTCTTGTAGGCCCAAGGCTAGCATGGCTAGTCAGCACCATCCAAATTCCCTGCAGGAAAAAAGGACACATTCAGAAAGGAAGGGTGAAGCAGTGCCCATGCTGGGAAAATACAGATTCCAGTATTGGCCCCACATCCCTTCAAAGAGCAAGTCTACACTTAAGAATCTCATTTAAGTCAAATATCACAAACAGGCACCCACGTGTCTGCAATCTTCTTTTCTACTGGAACTGCCTGTTAAGCCTCTCTCCTGGAAGTGATGGTGAGAGCTGCTTCCTAACTGCTTCACAACCCCACCCATTCTCTGCAAGGCAGTTAGAGGGAGGATTCCAGATTGCAAACCTGACTCCCTTGCCGCTGCACTTGAAATAAACCCGTAGAGGTTCCCCAGCATCTCAGGATAAAGGTGGACTCCCATAAGAATTTCTAAGGCCCTACCTGATCTCTTCCTGCCAACATCCCAGGCTTTGGTTCCAGAATCCTTCTTTTCACCCTCAGACCCTCAATATTCCACAGTTTCCTTCTGAACTCTCGATTCCAGGCCTGGCATAAGCCCCATCCACTCCTTCCCCAACTTGTATTCCTCCTGTCTTCTCAACCCTCAAGCCTCTGGGTCACATCAGCAGAGAATCTCTGCGTCCTCATGGGGTCTCTTCCCATAAACTCACCCATTGTTTCTGACACCTGGCCAGCTGTTGACAATGACATCCCTGTGGTGAGCCCAGCATGGGCTCTCAACGATGGCTCAGGAAGTTGGTGGAATGAACATATTGAAGATAGGAGGCAGAAGACCACCAAGAAGCTAACTCCCAACCAAATCTAGACCAACACGAGAGTGGCTTCAAGGCTGATGCAGTGGCTGTCCCAGATCAGCCAGTTCCTCACCTCTTCCTGAGGCCAAACGAACCACAGCTTCTGAGAAAGTGCACGATGAGAAGGAACTGGCTAGAGTTCTCGTACCTGGTCGCAATCCCGTTCTCCTCTGATTGCAGTCAACAGGAACATCTGTCTTCCCCCTTGGTACTGCCTTTTTTTTAAGTGCTGTGATTGTGTGTGTGTGTTTTTTTAATTTTTTATTTGTATTTATTTATTTAGAGACGGTTTTTACTCCGACTGCAGTGGCACGATTTCAGCTCACTGCAACCTCTGCTTCCCAGGTTCAGGCAATTCTCCTGTCTCAGCCACCTAAGTAGCTGGGATTACAGGTGTCTACCACCACGCCTGGCTAATTTTTGTATTTTTAGTAGACATGAGTTTCACCATGTTGGCCAGACTGGTCTCGAACTCCTGACCTCAGGTGATCTGCCCGCCTTAGCCTCCCAAAGTGCTGGGATTACAGGCATGAACCACTGCGCTAGGCCTGTGATTGTGTTTTAAATGCAGGCGCATTGTAGATGCTAATAGACATCTTGTGATGTGCTGATAGACATCCACAGGATGATACAATGCACGTTCTAGGCTCCCACGGTCTGGGTTTTACTGGGGGTATTTCCCCCTATTTCTGAAATAGAGTCATTTTCCCTTTAGGGACATAGGGCTCAGTGCATCTGTCACTGCTGGGTTTAGGTCATAATCCCAGATGACTGTGCAGCAGAGGTTCCAAAATTCCCCCTTCTCGGCATTCTGACATTGAGGGTGTACTAACGTGAAGATAATGGCATTGGAAAGCTGCAGCTTTAACTGCGATCGGCCAAATCCACCTCCCTCCTCCAGACACCCACTGGTCTGAAGCTTCCAGGGCAAGACTTCACACCAAGTTCAGCGAGCCTGGCAAAGCTCACTGGGGAGCGCAGGGAGGATGGATCGACTCCCACTATGAATATGATCGAAAAAATCCAAGCAGAAAATACAAACAATGCTTTGTTTCTATACAAAACTTAGTCCCGTGGGAAATTACACTTAGATGATTTATGGAGTGCGGGTCTTTAGCTGTATTACACTTTGCGTTGCCGACAAAGACAACAATAATGTGTAATTGATTCCGCTTGGAACTCAGAGAGTCAATAAAGAACTTTGTTTATCCATAATTTCGTTGGGCAAATCTCCCAGATGGTACTGAAATGTTGCATTTTTAAGATGTTGAGTTTGGTCCAGGAGGATCATAAATTATAAAGATAATGTGTCTTTCGTATCGTTACAGTCATCTAATCGTAATCACAATTAGAGTCACTGAAATCTAACTACATTGTATTTTAGTATTACTCTCGACATTTTTAAAGCTTCATTTATTTAAGAGGCAGAAGTCAAAATATGGGCTTCAGTAATTCCAAGGCTCCACTTGCTAATGCAAGGTCAAATTTACAAATTAAAACCTTTCATGAAAATAAAAATGTAATGCTCTCATAACAGGAATCAGCAGAACAAATATATACTCTTCAGTAGGTTTTACGTTCCCTTTCTCGCTCTATGGTAAGAGGCTTTAGCTACGTTCCTAGGAAACTAACACTGTCTCTGCAATAATTTTCTACTACCCGAAACATGTAATTTGTGCTTTCATTAAAGATAAAATTATTTCTCTTATGGTTGCATCACAGAAAAATATTTAAATAGAGAATCACAAAATTGGGAAGGGCAGGTTTGGATTGGCGTGACTTAAATATAAAATTATGGCTTATGAGATGCCTCTGGAGGCCCCTGGTGGGTGCTGCTCCTTGGCCGGGCAGGCCTGCCAGTGCCAACGAGACCGGTGCACCAGCATGGCCCACGTGACTCCCTCCCAAGGGAGCGACAGAGCCTGCATACTAAGACACCATGGACAGAGAAAGCAAACAGTACTTTAAAAATGAGCCCCTGAGTGGAAAATTACCCTGGCAGAAGCTCCAGATTGCAGGCATTGGCTTATAATAGAGCTGCTTCTCCCGAGGGCAACCCCCCTCACCTGCTCCAGGTGAGAGGCCTCAAGGATTTAGGTATCAAAGAATGGTTAATGATTCTCTCAAGTAATGGCAGAAAGCCCAGCTGGCTTCTGACCAGAGGGGAAGAGACACAGGCAAGGGAAGGACGTGGAAGAGACTAGGGCAGCAGTTCTGAAACTCCAGAGGCCTCTGAATCACCTGCAGGGTTTGCTGAACCCAAACTGCAGGCCTACACCCCCAGAGTCTGGTCCATCGGATTGCAAGGGGGCCTGAGTATTTGCATTTCTAATAAGTCCCCACGAGCTGCAGCTGCTGCTGGCCCCCAAACCACACTTAGGGAAGCACAGTGCTCAGGCCTGCTTCCTCCAATGGCCGCCCTTGGGCCAGCGCTGTCAGCATCGCCTGGAGGCTTGTTGGAAATGCACCATCTCAGGCCCACCCCAAACCTATCACTCAGAAGCCACAGCTTAACAAGATTCTCCGGGTGGTTCATGCACACATTAATGTTTGTTCAGGGTCATACTACATTATTTAACGTCCTTCCTGCTCCCGGATTCAACCAATGTACTTCTTTTTTTTTTTTTTTAATTTTTTATTGGATTTTAGGTTTTGGGGTACATGAGCAGAGCGTGCAAGACAGTTGCGTAGGTACACACATGGCAGTGTGATTTGCTTTCCTTCTCCCCTTCATCCACATTTGGCATTTCTCCCCAGGCTATCCCTCCCCACCTCCCCCTCCAACTGGCCCTCCCCTTTTCCCCCCAATAGACCCCAGTGTTTAGTACTCCCCTCCTGTGTCCATGTGTTCTCATTTTTATCACCCGCCTATAAGTGAGAATATGCGGTGTTTCATTTTCTGTTCTTGTGTCAGTTTGCTGAGGATGATGTTCTCCAGATTCATCCATGTCCCTACAAATGACACAAACTCATCATTTCTGATTGCTGCATAATATTCCATGGTGTATATGTGCCACATTTTTCCAATCCAGTCTATTATCAATGGGCATTTGGGTTGATTCCAGGTCTTTGCTATTGTAAACAGTGCTGCAATGAACATTCGTGTACATGTGTCCTTATAGTAGAATGATTTATAGTCCTTTGGATATATACCCAGTAATGGGATTGCTGGGTCAAATGGAATTTCTATTTCTAGATCCTTGAGGAATCGCCACACTGTCTTCCACAATGGTTGAACTAATGTACTTCTTACGTGTATTGATTGACGTCTCATGCCTCCCCAAACAGTATCACACTGCATAATGACGTTTCCGCCAACGACAGACCTCATGCCTGATGGTGCTCCCGTGAGATTTTCACGGAGCTGAAAAATTCCTATTGCACAAATACTCACTATTGTGTTACAGTTGCCTACAGCATTCAGTGAATTGACTTGCTGTACGGGTTTGGAGCTGAGAAAGGAAAATACCTCAGGCCCCCAAAATCACTCAGGAAACTCAGGCCGGGAACTACTCAGGGGAAACCTGCCTCCCATTCTATTCCAAGTCAGTCCTCTGCTCACTGAGATAGCTGTATATCTGATTTGCCTCTTTTGGAAAGGCTGATCTCAAAAGAACACAACCATGTGTGTATCACCTGTCTGCAACCCAGGAGCTCCCTCCCCAATTCCATTCTTCTTGGCTTTGCCTCAAGTTGTCCCACCTTACCAGACCAAACTAATGTACTTACATGTATTGATTGATGTCTCATGCCTCCCTAAATGTATAAAACCAAGCTGTGCCCTGGCCACCCTGGGCACACGTCATCAGGATGTCCTGAGGCTGTGTCATGGGCGTGTCCTCAACCTTGGCAAAATAAACTTTCTAAATTGAGACCTTTCTCAAATTTTCGAGGTTCACGTAGCCTAGGTGTGGAGCAGGCTATACCCGTCTGTATAAGCACACTTGATGATGTTCACACAATGTCAACATTTTGCCCAATGACGCGTTTCTCAGGATATATCCCCATTGTTCAGCAACCCATGACTATAATTCCATGTCCACATGACTCCTGATGTGTATGTTTGTATGTACATGTGTATGCAGGTGAAGAAAATAGAAAACAGAAAATGTGGTTTCCCTTTAACCGCTGATTTACTTATCCTTTCTCACTCCCTCTCCCCCTAATAATGTGCTAAAATGAGGGCTTGCATTCCGTGCAAGTGCAAAGCATGCAAATTAGTGCTGAGCTGGCGGTGCCCTCGTAACAACCTGCCCATCTGAGATACGCCCTGACCCTGTGCCTCAGAGCAAGGTAGCAACTGTCTTCACTCGTTGATCTTGCTGCAGCGTGGTCTAGGTCAAGGCCGTGTACACAGTTGGTGCTCAATAGGTGTTTGGGGTCCACTGAGAGGCT